TTAGAATAGTCCTCGACAGTTATTGAAAAAGTTATACAAAAGGAAACGTCATAAAGAGTGTGACATTGTTTGATAAAATTATGCCCTCTAGTGGTTAAAGGCATAATAAACGGACCATTTGCATGTTTGGTTTTGCAGCAGCATAATGAACCCAGTGTTATAATTTGGCAACAAAGTAGTAGTAGTAGAAGAAGAAGAAGAAGAAGAAGAAGAAGAAGAAGAAGTCCTTCACTGCTGAAGGACACATGGGAGAGACTGAAGGCAAGAGAATGAGACGTGCAATTTAAAGTATTCAGATTGACTTGAAGAAGGAGGAAAGACGACTGGACTACAGCAATAAAGCATCGAGTCTTACACGTAGGAAGTGATGTAAAGGTTTCGACTAGCAGTCGGACAGCTGGGAGAGCAGAGAGATGAGTGAATACAGAGCTTCCTTATTGACCTTATGCATAACCTTCATGTCTGTAAGAGTAAATTTGACATTTTTAGTTTAAACACCTTTAATATGTACACAGGAGGTCAGGTATAACAGTAAGTCTTTACAGATATTTAAATGTAGAAAATATTAAAATTAAACAAAGTTGTTGTTTTTTTGTTTTCTTTCTATTCCCAGTCTTGACCCGCACCTCATTCCTTTATCATTTGGTGAGGCTTGCAGCAGATTATTGAAGCATGAGCAAACATGCATGCAGCTTGAAAAGGCAGCATGACTGTCTTTATTCCTCAGCACAGCCTGAACTCTCGTAGACAATCTTTGGTCTTGCTCTTAGTCGTTCTCCAGGGTTCTTGTAAGACGTTCTGAAGTTCTTCTTTGATTGCTGTCTGTTTTTTCTTTTGTTCACTGCCAAGACGATCGCACACTGCTTCAGTGATGGTGAGATCTGAACTCTGGGGAGGTCAGTGTGTCACTGATAGCGTTCCACTGTGTCTTTTTCAGCACAGGTATGCCTTCATTGCATTGACAGTAAGTTTGGGTTCATTATCATGCCGAAATTTAAAGGCAATCAGATGTTTTCAAGTGGATCAATATTTGTGCTCATAATTCCATCAATTATGACACGATCCCCACTCATGAGCGTCTATAGACATCTGTTTTACATTTGTAGACACTGCTGTTCCCCTCTCCTCACCTCTGTGTGTTAAAGAGAATTTTAAACAAAAAATTCAAAGTTGGATTCATCACTCTGTGATGTTCCCACTGATTTTCATTCCAGATTATGTGTAATAAGGCAAACCTCAGCCTTTTGTGCCCATTTCCCTTCCTTAAAAAGGCACTGTCATTTTTTAGGGTTATTTAATTAAAGGACGTAAAAATAATAATTTCGTCAAAAATACATTGGTGTGTAATTACGTTCAACAACAAACTGAATCATTATCACAAACTTAATATCAATCCTAATCCAAAAATACATAGCTGCTTCCACAAACTCGTGCCCTCTGCCATCAATACAGCAGAGACGGACACTGCTGCTATGACTAATTGTGTTTTATGTACATGGCTAGAAAACCATGTACATATGTAGTACACAAGAGGCAGAGGAGAAATCTTGCAGGTGTTTGCACGCCGTTTTGAGACTCAATGAAGGAAGGATCATAAATAATAATAAATCACATTATTTCAGCCATTCCACTTATTTTGTGGTAATTACCTAAGATTGTAAAGACATTTGAAAATTTCAACTTTGATTTTTTTTCCAAAATAGTAGTAATAGCAGTAAAATACATATATAACAAACATGTAAATATTGTAAACAAATAAATAAATGTAATAAAAGTAATTTATAAAGTTATTTACTTGCAGAATGACTAAAACTAGTCAACTGAATGAACAACGGGCTGTGAGGTCAAAGGTTCTCAAAGACACTGTTTACTGGGGAAACCTGCAGTCGGCTGAGACTGAAGACGTCACTTGGAAGTCACTTTTTTTTACTTTTTTTAGAAGTACCTAAAGATGCAACTTAAAATTGGTTCTTTGCCAATTTCTTATGCAGAGAAAATTTGGGTTTGGTGTCTTTTTTATACTTGAATAGTTCGTAAGTTGGTGTTAAGTGGACTAGCAAACAAACCTCAATGTCCAATGAAAAAGCAAACAATTTTGAGAACTACAGCTGAAGACCACTTAAGAAAAAAAAACAAGAAATCACAATGAAATATGAAATATTTTTTTAAATGGCTCAAGGCTTTTGCGCAGGTATGAACAGCTGTAAAAATCCTGAAAATCTCACCACATTAGACAAATCATTCATTGTCTTTGTATAATGTTTCAGATTTTGTGAAGGCCACACAAAAAGACAAAAAGCCAAGAAGGTCAGTTCTCTCGTCTTTTAATAACACATTCATATCTATGCTCTGTTTTGTTTACAAGGAGTTTAAAACAAGTGTTGATGACGACTAAAGGAATCAGGCAGGCAGAAGGTGAAAGTCCATATACTGTAAAGACCAACGATGCCATCTGCTGGAAGGAGGGAAGACCTGACACTCCTTATGAGCAAGGAGTCGCCTCAGGCTGCGCAGTCAACAGTGAGATGGTTTCTTATTAATTTGAGGTTAGGTCAAAATGTGATTATTCTAGATCCAGCTCAGTACAGAGGACCTCCCTCCTTCCAGCTGCAGCTACATAATCAGCTAAAACAACAGGTCCTTTTGCTTTTCATTGGAATTGAAAATAAATCATCAGTCGGCATAGAAGGTCCTTGCAGGGCACTAACTCATGTAGGCTTTTCACAGAGAGAAAGAAAATGCTAAATGCACCCAAACACAAGAGATTCAATCTGCTGTCATAAAGAAGAGAGAAAAATGTAAAGTCAACCAAAAGAATATTTTGAAGTTAAAGAAAGCTTAATGAAACAAACTACATAAAATGCAAATTGGATAAAGAAATCTCTTATGCTGGGTTGTTACAGAAGAAAATTAAAAATTGGTGGCAAGAGTTTCCATCTCCCAATTTCCTTAATATTCCATTTCAAATACAAGTCAGAATGCAGAAAGAAAACAAAATCATCTTTGGAAGAAGTACGTTTTTTTCCTTTAATAGACTATCCACTACAGTATATGGAGATGCCACTACCCAGTTATTTATTTACCTATATTTCTTTCAAATGACTTTTTTTTTGTTTGTTTTTTTTAGTTATTTTGTGTCCTTTTTCAAAAGTTTTTTTTTTTTTACCATTTATCTATTTTTTCCTTTTCCTAAGAGGTAGATCAACAAAATAATTACATGGTTATAGGTGTTGTGCCCCTTGATTTGGGAGGTGAGCAGCAGGGCAGAGCCGAGGGAGGGTTACGAGTAATTTTAGTGTGTGGTCAGAGCGAGACGAGCAGAAGAAATTAAGTTTGTCTTAAGCTGTGATGTGAAGGAGGGTTAGCGAGTAGCATCGGTAGCTTTGAGCAGTTTAACTGAAACACCTTTCCCAGGTCAACAAGTTGACGCCCTGCTATGACCGGCTCACTTCCTCCCTACGCATGAAGAAAATCTTCATCCTGTCTGGCTCATGTCACCCTGCGTCACAATGTGTCCATAGAGTGAGTGTGTGTGCGTGTTTTCTCTTTTTTATTCATGTATTTTTATTTTATTTTATTATTTTTTTGCATTTACTTTTACAGTCCCATCTCTAAGCTGAAGAGGTACAATTGCAAAAAGCTGAAAAATAAATTAATAAAGTCCAAGAATGGGGGAAAAAACGGGGGAGGGGAGGTTTGTACTAAAACACTGTCACTTTGTTGTCTGACTGCTCGCTCTTACTTTTTTCTTTGTACAAACCAACAAGAGACAATCTTCTAGCTGAGTTTGCTTGTGTTTTGAGGTAGCGTTCCTAGTTATGTGTCAAGAGGTTTGTTTGTTTGTTTGTTTGTGTTTCCTTCTTGGGAAAGGAGTCCCTCTGTCAGATTCTGTTTCTGAATTGTCAAAGCCCCATTCCTGCTGACGGACAGAGGGGTAAGAGGTGGGGAGGTGTTAGGGACACAACATGGAGGAGTTTGTGCTCTGCCCATCCTGGAGTCAGTGTGTGTATGTGCGTGTGTGTGTGCGTGTGTGTGTGTGTGCGCGTCTTTTGTCTGTTTTTTGATCAGGTAAGATAAGTTTACTCAAGTCAGAATTTCCTTTCAGTCGGAAAGGGGCAATACCAGTCAGGATCTGTTTTGCCAGTTTACTGCGTGTGCTTCTCATCAGTGCTGACCACGTTCTAAAGCATGCCGGGTTTAAAGTACAACAGGCGTAACTCAAATAACTACGTGTGACACAGCCAAGACTCATCACCAGGAGCATTTTAGCTTCTTTCAGCTCACAGTTTTGCTTTTTTGGTCCACAGCGTCAACTTTGTGATTGTGTAGAAACAAAAGCAAAATTCTGGCTCTGGTAAGTTGTGAAAATATGTGACTTTGGAACCAATATTAGGGCTGAATCTTTTATAGGTTACAAAATGACATCAGTGTCTAATTCATACAAGCCACATGAGGTTTCACCATCTACTTGCTCAAGAGACGGGCAAAGGTGGCGCAAACAGCTAAACCTCCCAGAAGTCATAACAAGACGAGCACAGGGACTGTTATGAATATTAGACTTATGAGAGGAAGTTTTTGGATGCCCCAAATAACTGTTTGTCAGTAGGTTTGCCTTTCTTCTTGGAGCTCTATATCAAAGTGAAATGAAACCAGTGGGGAAAGGTTGTAGAAAATGGTCAGCCATAACAAGCACACAAGCAACAGGTAAACATGTCTGAAACACTGGTATGGTCCTTTAAACAATGTTAGAAACCGTGTCGGTTTTAACTCAAATGTTAGCGTGCTGGCAATGATACTGTTTTTATACCACGTGGCACCTCTCACTACCAAACTCTGTCCACTAGCTGATACAACTTATTGGCTCAATCACTCAAATTGCAATAAAACAAAAGAAAAAAACAGAACAGAGAGGAAAACCAGATGAAAATGAAGAAATAAATGATTTTTGTCTCTGTCTCCGGCTGCAATTTGTGTGAGCCGTTTTTTCTACATTCTTAATTACAGAGTGGGCGTGGTGAATGGCACGGGGCGTGGCGAACGGCACGGGCGCGCCTCGGTTTAAACTGTACTGTCGTCTCTATTGTAACGAGACATGAAGGGTTCAGGTGAAACTTCACCTGAGTTCTAAAATACTTCAAGTCCTTCTCAGCGAGCTCATTTGCTTAACGTGGCTCTATACTGCATTTTGGACTCCGCCCCTTCCTGTTTGTTTGGCACAGTCACTGTGACATACTGAGCTACATGTTAGTACTTCGTCTCATTAAGTAGCTGTAGATTTCTGCATTAAAAAAAGCTAAACAATAAGATGGGGTGAAATTCAACTATTTTCCAATAAAGACTCAGAGTGTGGATTCTGGGAAAAATAAAGAAAAACGTTTTTGAACAGAAGCGAGCAAAACGAACACGATGGAGACCAGCGCAAGAGAGGGCAAGGGACCCTTACATTCCCGCCCACTCCAAAATCACTCTTCTACCAGAGGACAGAAGAGCAACGACAAAGCATGAAAACGTGGTGTGAAAGAGCAAGAAGGGAGAAAACTCTGACTCCTCACCCTCCACTGTTTTTGTTTTTTTTTAGATTTGCATCAGATGTTCTCAGTTGTTTCCGTTGTTTGCTGAAATCTTTAATCGATTAGTGCAACAGTACGTCCCCAGATGTCACTTCCAAACAAAGCTTGCTGTACTAAATAAGAATGAAAAATAAAAAATGTCCAAAAGCCCGCAGGCTGAGGGATGAATCCTGAATAGCACGTTGGTGGCTGTGAACGGAGCGCTGTGGTTTAGAAAGAGGTGGAGACTTAACAGAGTCGAGCTGTGACGTTAGCGCCTCTGGGCAAAAATACAAGCGCAGGCGAGGTGGAATAGATTTTTCCCTGTTTGTTGATGAGCTGGTGGGGTAGCCGATTAAGCTTGTACCAAGCACAGGTAAGACATTAAAAAGACAGTTATTTGGCAGTGTCCTTCCGCAACTTGGCTAAGCGCAACCTTTCTGTCTGATGGTTCTTTCCCACTTTGATTTTTTAAGGTTTTTTTCTCCAAAAGTACAAAAGGTTAGAGATCACATTTCGAACATGTTATGTACAGGTTAGAATATTATCCCAGCTGCGTTGCTGTCGCTCCCAGCTTTTTCCTCTAAAAGATTTGTGGATTTTCTCCACTGGGTTCTCATCCTACTTTTATCTGCTTATTTTTTCCTCAACCACATCACCCAACCACATCCCCTGACTTTAAAAAAAGGAACATTTAAAACCAGCGAACACAGACGCGCCTGCATTCACACATACACACAACAAGCACACGTGTAGCCAACAGGGAGCATCTGAGGTGGCACGGTCAGTGCACGGGTAATAAATATTCACATTCAGAGAAGTCAGAGCTAGTTCCTGTGTGTAAGTAGAACACCTGACACAGTACAGCTACTCGGTAGGTGGACCGCTAATATTTAAATTCCCAACCTCCAGGTGAGAAAGGTCGCATTTTCATATGCCATATGCAGGTCTGTAAAGCCGTCTCGTAATGTTTGGCGCTTCGTGGCAATGTCGTCAAAATAAGACGAGGAGAGGAGGCTATTTCAGGGCACACAGCAGGCCAGAAGCCACAGGAACGGGGTATGACACAAAGGTTATCCGATTACCCCGGTGGCGAGCTTGGTCACCATGTGCGCTTGAGGATCCTCTCTCGAGTTAAACATAACTCCCTTTTGGCCATTTCTCTGTTTCAGACTACAGAGGCTCCACTCACACGTCAGGAAGACCGAGCATGTTTCCCCCCAAAAGATGGAAAAATGGGACCCGTTTCTTCTCTACACCAGCAGACCGATCTCTCTCCGCTTAGGAAAAAAGAAAACAGCATCTTTGTCATCCTGAACTCATTCAACCATCACACCAGAAAACACAAAAAAGGAAAAAAAATACCAAAGCCATAACTCAATACCTAAAAAGAAAAAAAAATACTTTTTCTTAAAAAAATAAAAAAATATTCAGGACTCTCAGCAATTTTTTTCCTATTATATAGAAGACCAGCAAGCAAAAAAAAGGAATACTGAGGTAACTTTACCCTGAGGTAGGTTTTTTCTTTTTCTTTTCTAATCTGTTCTAATCTTGGCGAGAGCGTCCAAGCATCGACCCCGCCCCTCATTATCATACGCAGGCGGGGTCTGGAGGCTCCGCCCACAGGCCTTCAGCAGACAGGGAGAGAGAACGAGGAAGCTGCTCCCTTTCGTAACGATATTACCATTGCTGAGCTCAAGGCAAGGAGCTTTGGAAGACTTTGCTTTTAGTGCTCGGCCAAGGTCAGCCTCGGACTGCCTTCATCACTGCGGACATTAAAGGCATTTTTTATTTAAGAGAAAAAACGCAGGGATGGCTGAAGCACCCGACTCTCCGTCTGACACTGACCTTGACTTTCTGCACAAACGTAATGAGCAGAATGTCTTTCGCTGACACACTTGCTCATACTTGTTAAGCAAAGCCTCAATACATTCACGCCAGGGGCCGGGCTAACTCACATATCATATATATATAATATATATAAAATATGCCGTTTGGGGTGCAGGTCGCTCGCCAGCGAGCACAGCTGCTGGCAGTTGGTTTTTTTGTTTTTTAATCTAACGCGTGAGCTAAGCCGCTGCAATAGAACTGCAGGACCAGCTGCGACCTCCACTCCCGTTACTGTCTCTTGCCGCGCCTTCCGCCACATAGCTAAATATTGGAAGGGCATCTTCAGTGCCTCCCCAGCCCCGAGCCTTACTGTAGGCTAAATGATGCTACACAGTACAGGCAAGGGACTAAGAAAAATAGAGAAGACGTCCTCGTTTTTTTAAAGAGGAAAGGCAAGGCGGCCAGGCGCAGCTTTTTTTTTTTTTTTTTTTACATTTACATGAAGATTATATATTTACAACCTCATATTTTCTCTTTTTTCCTTTTAATCTCTCTACTATCCTGAAAGGTTTTAAAAGAGCAGTGTTAACATCTGCGGCCCCTCTTCTAGGCTCTCATTTGGCCAGTAGGTTAGGGGCGGGCGAGGCAGTGCCAGACCCCGCACCTATCCTCCTGTGCCACTACAGCAGTTCCCCTGTTCCTTCTCCCAGCTCCACCTCACTGCATTCTATTAATAATAGCTCTGAATAAAACATTTCTATACATATATCTCTATGTTAAAAAAAAAACCACCTTTAAAATATAGGACTGACTGCAGATGGTTGGAGAGGTCTCTTGGAGGCGATAGGACAAGAAGGCACCTGCTAGTGTACCTGGGAAACGCAGATCTGCTATAAATCGGAACCCACCATAGCGTTGCTTCATCCATACATGGAGAATAAAGTCGGCCATGTTGTTTCGACTTATCTGGGTGGGATCCCATAAAGTTAGAGCAGATGAGGAGCTGGCTGCAGCCATCCCGAGGCACACTAGGAGGATACTATACCCTCTGTCTCTCCATGTTCCTCCTTACCCTCATCCCACCATCCTCACTCAGTTTCTCTTCTGGCCTGGAATCTGATCTCTGTTCTGTTTCTTTTTCCTTAATCCTCTTTTTATTATTTGTTTCATCTTTTTGATTTCATTCGTCTTTGTTCTTTGTCTTTCTCTGTGATTATTGGGCGTACTCTCTCCCTCTTTATATCTCTCCCTGTCTCTTGCTGGGTCCGTGTGTCGCTCTCATGTATCCGTCCGTCTATCCGTTCGTGCATTTGTCTGTCTGTCCTTCCGTCAGGCAGGGGGCCCGCGGCATGTGAGAAGGGTGCGGGGACCCCTCACTTCCTGCGTGGCTGGTGGTCCTGAGTCAGTCCCTGCGTAGGTCTGCCCATCTCTGTGAAGCCCGGCGAGTGAGGGCCAGGGCCCATGCCAACTCCGCTTTTCTGTGTCTGTTTGACCTGGGTCAGAATGTCTCTGATCTTTCTCTGGGCCAGCTAGGAGACAGAGCAGAGTTGAGAAGATGAGCTGCATAAGTTACGCCTTTTTCCCCCGCTGCAGGGAGACAAAGTTAGCAACACGTTAAATATAGCAGACAAAACTGCGACTTCAGAGTTTGGTCAATTTTAGGTTTTTAGAAGGCATCAAGAAAAAGTTCAAGTACACAAAAATGATATTTTAGACAATGAAGGATGACAAGAAGATGAACCTTCTGAGTATGAGCAGCGTGAACATATGCACCATTAAAATGAATCAATGTTAGCACAGATATTTCATAAAGACAATCACATGCCATTGGCTACTTATAAATGCTAACATCTTTTTGGTAGCTAAGCTAACATAGCTTAGCATAGCGAGCATACAGTGCTGAATAAAATAAATATGACTAAGCCATGAATGTGTTATAATGTATGAGGTGTTAAATACGCAACTAGGGCTGGGTATCGTCACTGATTTCTAGAATCGATTCAATTC